CCCATTTTGCTCCTCACAGATACACCACCTCTTGCCTACCCTCCAACTTTGTGACTTTTATTTCTTAAATGCATAACTCTTGGATTCGCATTTGTGTTGTCCATATACTCCTTCTGGCTGTGGGACCTTACCCTGGAGTGTGGCGGACTTTTTAAGCAATTATCCTCACGATTTCAAAGGATGAAAGCCATGGCAAGACTATACTGTCAGAAACCTCTGCATTTTTTTCTCATTGAGTGTTTTTGTGATATCACAGCATGATGGCCACAACAGAATTTACATCAAAAGCCAGAATTCAATCATGTGCAATTTGTCTTAGAGAGGAAGTAGAGGGTCATTTAGAAATCCAGCATGATGCTTTCAGTTTCTTCTGTATTCAGTTAATGTTGAAGTACAAGGTGCTATTACCTAGTTTTAAGAAGAATGTAATGACAAAAATGATTAATTTTTCTGTTTAAAATTGAATATAATTTTTATCTTAAAGAGCATATTTCATCCTTTTAAAATGGTGGGTTTTTATGTATGTATGTGTGCCTGTGTGAGTTTATGTGCACCAAATGTATGCAGTGCTCATCATGAAGGCCAGAGAAGGCATTGGAGTCCCTGGAACTGGAGTTACAGGTGTCTATGAGCTGTCTGATGTGGGTGCTAGGAACCAAACCTGGGTCCTCTGCAAGAGCAATAAGTGCTCTTTATCTCTGAGTATCTCTTCAATCTCTTGCATTTATTTCTTTATTGTATGTATATAAGTGTGGGTGTGCATGTATCACTGCACATGTGTGAAGGTGTTTGTTTTTTTCATCCATCATGTGGGACTTGGGGATCATAACAACTGGAGGCCAGTGTCCTTCCCACCTGAACCATCTTCCCAGCTCTCACTTTCATCCTCTCTACAGTGGTGTGGTTTTGAGTTTACACACCTTGATACTCTAAACGTCAGCAAAAACATTTTACTGGGAGAGATTACTTTTCAATCAAGTATGCAGGGAATCAGAGAGCAACAGGGTGCCAATGGAAACGTTACTTCCACTGTGGAAAAAGTGACTTCATTGCCCATATATTTCAACAGCACACTCCACATACCTTTTGGAAAAGAAACAATATTACTTCTTGGCCAGTACCACATCATCTTCTGCTTTATATCTGAAATGTCTACTTGATGTAATTAAAAATAGGAGTCTGCCTTGAGCTTTTGTGAATAAAAAAATCTTGTTTGAACTGCCAGAACTAAAATTTCAGCTAACAATGTAAAGGAAATTAAAGATAGCATAGTTCTTTTAATTTACCTAGTTCCTTTGATTTACTTTACTTAGTAAGTGGAATGGGTGATGGATAATACCTAATTCTTCTTCAACCTTACTTGGCTCAAATTTGGGAAATACCACATGCTGAAATACCCTGAATTTAAAGCAAATTTGAGCTATCATGGAATAGTTGAAGCTTGGGGATGTGAAACTGGGTGATTTAGTTTGAACTGTGTACAAGCTCAACTTTTTCATCCGGAAGATGGAGATGCCATACTGTTAATTACTTAACTCAAGGTGTTTAACATTTTAGTAGAGAGATCCATATGTAAACATGTATCATGTGCCTCCCCTATGATAGACACTGTAGATTCCAGGTTACCCTTCTTAATGCCATCATGTGTCAGGGGTGGAGCCAGTATCTCCTGTGCGTGACCACTGTGGGCATCAGAGACACTCAGTGTCACAGAGTGGTCACTGCTGCCCCTTTGAAGCTTAAGCACCCTGACGCTATAACAACTCCATTTTTGTGCTGAGTGTTCATCCCTCAAGTAAAATATTTAACATGTACCATTGAGTATCTTTATTATACATGGGAAATACCCTGTTTGAAAAGGGTTAGGAGGCATGGAGATATTATTTCTCTTTTGAGGGAAAGTAGACAAGTAGTCAAATACATTTTATGAAACATCAGCTAAAAGCTTTGCTTTCTCACCTGATCTGCTATTCAATATGATGACCATTATCCACATGTGCCTATTAGAATCTGTTAATCAAAATGTAGAAAGGAATTGGTTCCCTAGCCATGCTCACCACACTCAAAATCCTACTTAATCATCAAGTCCCTTCTTCAAAGGTAATTACTATTCAATTTGATGCATATTCTTCTTGACATATTTGTATTTTTTATTTTATAAATATACAAGTTGTAATGTTTTTATATGAAATTTAACATTATTTCTAGGTCATCTGTGCATACCTATATACATCATAGAATGAAGTCATAGTACATACATGTAAATACATAGAACATACCTAAGAGTATGTTCTGATCACATTTATGCCTCTGTACATGTATGTTTTATTCTTTTTACATGATCATATGAAATCCATTGTATTTATATACTCTGTTACTCCACCAGCTCTCCCTTGACATATTCTTTTTTCTATTTTTCCTACTTAATCAATGTTGAATAGTGTATATTCTTAGAACTAAACTGCTGGATTTAAAGACGCATATTTTGATTTTATACTTAAATACTAATTGATGTTCATAAATAGTTTATAAAGGAAACATTATACTGTGAGAGGCATGATTGTTTTTGAGACTCCTATGTGGAGGCATTTCTTTGAAAACCATTGCTGATACCTGAACTAGATCAGTTAACAAGATGTTGCTATGTGGCAGAAAAGCAACAAATGCTGGGAAGGTGGCAGGGTGGGGGTAGGGTGTGGTGGAGGGCTGGGGTGGGGCAAGAGGGAGTGGGGGAGAAGAACCAGCATACCGTGTCAGTGCTAAATGTACATCAGTCCAATTGCTATGGAAATCAGTAAGGAAATTCCTCACAAAACAAAAATTGAACATGACCCAGCTGAAACAGTCCTGGGCATGTGCTGGAAGGAGTCAGTCAGCATAGCACGCAGATGGCCATACGCCCTTGCTTATCATATTATCATTCGTAGTAGCCAAGCTAGGGATTCAGCTTAGGTGTCCACCGAGGGCATGAAGGAGTGATTAGAGAAAATGTGATATATGCTACACACTGGAGAATTAGACATAGAGAAGAATGGATTATGTCATTGGCAGGGAAGTGGGTGAGTTGGAGATCAGCATATTCAGCAAAAGAAGCCAGATTCAGAAGGACACATATTGCATGTGTAGTGTCCAGATTTTAAAGAACGTGTGAGAGTGGAAGAGGCGTTAGGGATGAGAGAGCAAACTCGGGGAAGGGTGTCGCTGGAGTTTTCCTGCTTGGCCCACAGTCAGGACAAATCTTTGTTACCCGCCAATCCCACAGCTGCTCAGACCCATCCAAGTAAACACAGAGACTTATATTGCTTACAAACTGTATGGCCGTGGCAGGCTTCTTGCTAACTGTTCTTATATCTTATATTAATCCATTTCTATAACTCTGTACCTTGCCACATGGCTCGTGGCTTACCGGCATCTTCACATGCTGTTTGTCATGGCAGTGGCTGGCAGTGACTCCCTTTCGCCTTCCTGTTCTTTCTTTTCTCCTCTCTGTTAGTCCCGCCTATACTTCCTGCCTAGCCACTGGCCAATCAGTGTTTTATTTATTGACCAATCAGAGCAGCAGATTTGACATACAGACCATCCCACAGCAGAAGGGGGAACAGGGTGATGCCCAATGTGAATATGGTCAAATACGTTGTATGCGTGCATGAAGACGTCACAGTGTAACTTGACATCTTATACAATCAACATACACCAATGAAAAGCAAAAAGAGTGATTACCACATAGGCAGCCCCATGGATAACATCTATTAATATATGCATATATAATTTAACATAACACCAGTGCCTAAAATATGCATACTTGTTTATTCATGTAAAAATGTCAGTGGTGTGTATACTGCGTCAACTTTAATCTTCAGTGGAAAGATGTGCCTCTCAGATAGCAGGCCCTTCCAGGCTACAGCAACAGACATTTTTTATTACATAGCCATAGAACCTCTTGGTATGAAGAACTGTGTGAACTTCACCAACTCGATCAGGCCACTGTTTCATGTTGCTATACTGCCCTGTAAATGCACTAAGCAACCCACTGCACATTGCTTATTCTGTGACTAGAGGACATGCCTGTCTCCAAGTCTAAATGACAAAGTGTTCTCCCTGGATCTTTGTGCTCTTTCAGCAAGGTCCCAAGTGACACATCTACCAAATGTGTGACTTGGGTTCTAACATCACATGACTTCCTTGGCTTTGCGTAGTGTTTGCAAACTAGTTCTGCTCTGTAAGAGAAAAAGCCTGTAGCACTTGCTGAAGTGCCAAGCAGCGGTTCTCAGCTATGATTTCTGGGGAAAATGTTAGCAGGATTGTCTCTTTGCTTCACAGACATTCATATCCTAAGCATTTCCTTTTAAGTCAAAAGTGATGTGACATAAAATGTAAATAGTACCTTTGAAGGTAAAAAATGGGAGTTCAGATATGAATTATTTCTATATGGTCATGCTACATTATTTGTCTAAAAGTAAGGAGCCTGGAAGGATTTCTACAGATCGTTATCATGTTATCATTAAAGACTTTAAATATATCTTCTTGATACCAGCATGGAGAGATGTGAGGTAGAGATCTCTTCTGCTGCCTGTTGGTTTCAGCTCATGCACACTTTCTGTGTTTTATGAACTTGATGCTGTATCTGCATGCATCATAGGATACATTCATTGCATTTTAGTATACATTTTACACACTTTGTGAAGAAAACTGATAGATTATTTAGTTGAAACAAAACCCAAAATTAATCTCAGAAGAAAAAGAAAAATCAGTCTGCATTAGGGAAAGGCCTCCTGTGCATTTACAGTGAGTGTTCCTGAGATGAGGGTGTGTGGGAGCTGCATAGCCTTCCTGTCTCCTGAGTTTTCATAATATTACCTTTTTTCTTTGTTTTTCACGAACATGTTTATCAGCGTGAGTTAAATTCCAACGCATTTTGTTGAAAGTGTAAGTGCATTTTTAATGTGTCTGTGATGACTTTGCCCAACATCCCACCAGACTGAGGTTTCTTTCTTTTCCAGACTCTGCCACTGAAGAAGATTCCCTGCAAAGCCAGTGCACCCTCGGGCTCCTTCTTTGCCCGAGACAACACAGCCAATTTCTTATCCTGGTGCCGGGACTTGGGGGTGGACGAAACATGCCTTTTCGAATCTGAAGGCCTTGGTATGTATGTCTCTCAAGACTTGAGTGGATGGGGTACTCTCACGGCCTTTTCTCCTAGTGTATCTGCCGACAGATTTTGTGTGCTGTTATTTTTCAGATTATTTTAAAGAATTGGGAGTAAATTGAAACCTTGCAGTTGTAACTTTAACAAGTCGAGGTAGAAAATGCGCCTGCCATCTTACTCTTGGTCACTTGGCTGACAAAATACAGGAGCAGGAATGGTGGTACTTTTCGAAGCCAGGGCTGAGTGCTGTCAAAGCAAGCTGAGTGTTTGCGCTCCACCAACGGAGAACTCAAGTGTTGCCGCCTCTGTAAAGGGTGAAAACTTCAGTTCTTTCTTTGTTGGGACTGCAGTTCACTAGTCTATGTATTTAACTGTTTTCAGGGTTGAAAATCAGGTGTGCATGGGGCTATTGAAGTAGCTGCAGAAGACAGACACCTCGGTGAATACCTTCCCGGATTGCTGTTTCCTGGCATTTTTTCTTCTATTCAATTTTGGCAATTACATTTCCAGACCACACAATGAGATTTGTAATTTCTTGGAAGGAAACATGCAATATATTGAACTAGTGAGTGTTTCCATACTGCCTAACACTCTGGGATTAAATGTCCAAGCTTACTGCAGAAGTCCCCCTACAATGTAATTCTAACCTGAAGAATATTGGAACTAAATCACACTCTCAGTGAAATGGAGCAAAGTCAAGAATAGAGACTTCTAATAGAAAAAAGAAAAGCTTTGGTTTCTGTCTAGGGCTCTAAAAATCAATTTCCAAAATCACATAATACCAAATATTACCATTAAGTAAGCCAAGCATCCTTTGGAGAATGTGTACTTAAACAGTTAAAAGAGCCTTTGTCCCTGAGCCTTGGATAACAGTGTTTCTCTGCTAACCCAGCAAGCACATGGTCACAGTGGGGACTTGACATTTCATAGGCTGAGGCCATTGTACCTGTTCTGAGATAAGGGGATAAAATGTGAGAAAGGGCCATTAAATGTCTGAGAATTTCCTCAGCAGAGAAGAGACCAATGTCAGTTCAGTGTGGGAGGGTATTCTACATTTACAAGAAAACAGACGAATCAGAATAGTTACACAATAGTGTGGCACATACAGAAGTGTGTCCCTGAAGGCTCACTGAACACATGGGCATTGGTTATTGTTGGTGACAGGTGTGAGCTTCTGCTGATGATAACTCCCCTTCAGCCCAGTTCAGTGTTCCAGATAGATTTTAGCTTTTAGGTATGTCAGGTTTTGTAATGGAGAATTATAAGAAGGAAATGAAGAAAAGTGATTTTAAAACAAACATAATGTCTAACAATACCTCTCCATACAGCGTCAGTCAAGTGTCAGTCAGGAAGAGGGCATTGTATGTCTCTCATGAGTGTGGAGACAGTTAACATGTTTTAAATTATGAGGTGACCCCCTAAATTGGCAAAGAATGGCCACACAGGAGAAACTGCTTTAGATCTGCATTAATTTATGCATTTTTTCTTGTACAGGTTTTCATTAAAGATGCATTTTTTTTCACTTATCAGTAAAAAAAAAAATGGGTTATAAATAGCTCTGCATATTGCTATGGCCTTGATTGGTTTCCTCTGAGTGGCGTCATTTTGCTGCCTAGACTAACAGAACTTTCAGTAGAATCCAGCAGGAGTCAATGTGGTACCAGATTCCTCCTGAAAATACCACTGCAATTTGCATTTTGTAGTGTATCTTAATGCTTGAAAAACCCAAATTCAGTCATAAATAATACATTTTATCCTGAAAGTGTAGGCACCAAAGTAATTGATTTCATGAGCTTGGTGTGTAACTGTATAGTTACATAAAGAAAAATTAGACAGCCTGCATCTCCCTTTTTACAAAACCGTGTGGCATTATGGAAAGAGGGTTTGTGGTAATTTATATATAAAGAAATATTACATATTCTGTTACTTAAACATTTGATTTTGATTATCTTTTGTATCTTAGCTTATGACTTCAAATTAAAAGGTATTTAAATGTCCAAGTAGATTCACTAAATCCAAGTTTCAAGCCTTTTAAAATTTAAAAATTATTTTTAAGATCAGTACCAAACTAAGTCAGATAATCAGGCTTTCTTTTTTGCTGCTCAATTAAAAAGACATTTGAAATTTCTGGGGCTCAGAGCGAATATAAGGAGATGTGTCATAGGCCCAGGGGACTCAGTAAAAAAGGGTCAGTATCATAGCATTGATTTAGGATTAGCTGGAGAAAGGAAACAGCTGGGTCCGTGGATATTAATGACAATAAAGAGGAAGGACAAAGAGAAATCTCATTTCCTGGAGGGGCCTTTCTCCCTGGGTGTTTTTATTATTGTTGTTATTCACTGTGGAGGACTCAGCAGCAGAGCCCTGCTGCCGGCCTTGGCCTTGGCCTTTTCCACAAGAGTGCTGTGTGCTCTGCTTGAAGTCTTTCATGCTTCACTTTTGAAAGGGAATTTAGGGCAAGGTTTTTTTTCTTTTTCCTTTTTTTTGCCCTACCTCAAGATTTCGTTTCAGCGTTGCACCATGAAGAACATCCTTTGTGCCCCAGTGTTTTGAAGACAAAGCAAAATGCAAAGATGCCCTGATGAAGGGAGAATGTGTCTGAGTGACTGATAAACTAGATCGCGGCCGCGGCGGCGGCGGCGCTGCCTGTGTGAAGAGGCTTCTGTTCATGCTGCTCAGGTCTGAGCCTGCAGAGAGAAACCCTCCTTATCTTGGTGGCAGCAGTAGCTGCTCTGTGCCCCGGCAGTGCAGTGTGCAGTTATTTGTCAGTTTTCCACTGTTCCTGGCTGACTCAGTCTGTTCTCGTGCCGTGACAGCAAATGTCAAGAAGTCTCCGTGGGTGTGTGGCAGGGGCACGTGGGGGGAACAGGGAGAGCAGCAGCTGCCAGTCCTGGAGGTCGCTCCTGTTGGTTGCGTTTCTGGTTCTTGAACAACAACATTGTATACAGCACAAAGTACACACAGGGTATGACCTGTAGGTCATTATGTTTGGTTTTCTTTTCTTTTTTTTCCTTTTTGAAACACAGACTTATGTAACTCCAACTGGCTTTGAATTTGCTTTGTAGCTGAGGATGACCTTGAACTCTTGATCCCCTGTCTCAACCTCCCAAACACTGGCATTATACATAAGAGCCACCACACTTGGCCTACTTTAACTCTGAATGATAATTTTCTTCTGTAAATGTCAGTTTTAGATAAGATAACTGTACTCAAATGTTGCTTCAAAAATGAGAAACAGGGACAAAGGTCTGAGATATCAAAGTCATATTCTTGAGACCATGTAAGGAATGGGGACATAAGGCCCAAGGTGAACAATGGACATGGTTAGATCTGTTTATGACAAAGAAGGTCACATTCAGATCATGGCAGAAGAATGGAGAGTAATTGGGTTGTGAGTGATACAGTCTTCACTTCTCACAAGCCAGGCAGGAAACAGTTGCAGCTTGTGGTTGGAAACATGGAGGACTTACTTGATGTATCTTAAGAAGAAATTACAGCAATTTACATAGGATCATTTATTGACATTTCATACATCCACATACTATGAAAGCCTTTTCACTCTGAGGCTGGGCAGGGTCCAGGTGGCTGGGAACTGCGTGGAACTGTAGCACAGAAGCCTGTGTTCCTGCATCCTCAGTGGAACTCCAGCTCTGGTTGTGTCTGTCTGATACCTACCCTGACCCGGCTGACTCACCCACGCTGATATTAGCCTGCCTGGAATGCCTTCACAGTGTTTATAATTGTGCTTGACATGAAAATTGATGGCTGTGGATATTTTCTTGAATTTAAAAGTTCACTGTTCATCAACTCAGTAGCAGAATAATTCCCCATTTGTCATTTTAGTGGACTTTATCATGGAATAACAAAACACAGTTTAGAACACAAAAGGTGTGAAAATATTTGTTTTTTTACTTCAAAGAGATACATAAAGATTAGTAGACTGTATTTGTTAATAATACTCAAATCGGCAATCAATGAATTTTCAAATGTCAATTTGGATATTTTAACCACCTTTAAGATAACACCGGTTATTTTTATGTGATTCATTTTGTCATTTAATTAATGTCAGAAATATTTGATTTATCCCCAATTTAAAATGTTTTAAATTATGTCATAAAATTGATGATCTTATGTGATTTTTCTAAGGTTTTACAAGTGTAATTCATTTCTTTAATACTATTTATAAGGAGTATCTGCAACCCACAGTAGCACACTGGTTTAGAATATGTCAACTTTATTTTTGCAGACATGTTTGATTATCTCTGTACGCATTTTTGTTATCTGGGCGATGGAGGGAGAATTGGGGGACTCTGAAAGCGCACATTTTGCTTGCCATACTGTGTCAATATCAACATGTTGTTGGCTGCTTGTAGGACCCGGAGCGCAGTGACTGCTCATCTGTTTCTCAGAGAAAGAATCTGCCCACCGAGAGACGGGTTTGCTGTCTGCTGTGTGGCATGCACCGTGTGACTCCTGTGACCGCCCCTCTTTAATTCTGGTTCCCCGTGTCTGTGTGTGCTGTGTGTCTCCTGTTCTTCCCATGCACCACTGACTAGCAGGGCTTCGTACAGATTGTTTCTGTAGCAAACCTGTGGCCTCACTAAAAAGAAATGGACCCTGAGGAGTCCAAGACTAACATCCGTCCTGCACTGCCTGCCCTGCGTGGTCACTGGCTGCATCAGAAAAGGACTTGATGCCTGCATCCCTTGTGTGGTGCGCCCTCCCCTCCGGTCCTTGTGTTTGTTGTTGTCTTGTTGAGAACTGTAAGAACGTGTCGGGGTTAAGTCAAACCAATATTCTTACTTGCTAGTTATTAGTGTTAGCATAGGGTAGCAATTCCATGGGACTGAGTTAGCTCCAGGTTGTTTATTTTAATTGTACTGTTTCTCTAGGTTCATTTTATTTTAGATTTCCTTTAGAAATTTCTTTTATTTAAAAAAAATACCATTTTAGCATTTTAATGCATGCCTTTATTTCACTGTGTTTTGTTTGTTTT